TTGACACAAGTTTTTAAATATTTCTTTTGATGGTGTGTTGTGTAGAGATAATATATGCTGTGTGTGTGTGTATCTATATATATAGATATATATATATATATATATATATATATATATATATATATATATATATATACACACACACACAGTATATATTCTCTACCTAGTACACAGTACCAAGAAATAATTTGAACCTTGTTTGAAAATGGAGTCAAAATACTGTAGTTTGAATTTATATCCAACATTTTTTTCATTTTTGAGCACTTTAAACAAACATATTTTCATGGCTGTATTAAGTTAGTACATTCACTTCTTTTAAATGTGTAGTGGGTGTCTCTGCATTGATATTTCTGTGTCAATTGCGCCACATGAACTAAAAATACTGTTTGACACAGGGTAAAAAAAAACCATATTCTGCCTGGGGTCTAATCAATGGAGAGGCCCTTTCACGGGTTGTTTACAACTCTGCTTTTGGTCCATGGTGCCTGAACCAAGATGACTAATAAAGTGCACATAGGAAATGGCTGTTTTGTGTGAGATCCAGAACTTTAAAGATGTTTTACTGTACGGAGTGTGTGTCATCACTGTGGTTGAAAAGTGGCTGGTGGATTTCAGCAGGAGTCCTGCAGTGTTCTCAAGCATGCATTTATCTTCTCGTTTCTGTTTTCCTCTTTAAGAGGGGAGATGGCATTAGCTCTAAATTACAAAACCAAAAGCAGAGATGGAGAAGGCCCTGCTGAGTGATTTAAGTGCTTTACCAGAGTTCCATGGACACGAGACAACAGTTGGTTTGGCTGTGGATTTGCAGATCAAACTCAGAGGTCTTACATATGGCCAAAAAAACAGATCCCTTCCAGCCACAAAGTAGGCCTGTGCAAGTTAATCCATCCCACCCAGAAATATTTAATTGCTACCCAGTTGATCCATTTGAAATCTTTATGACCTTTTTAGTAACACAAACTGGCTTTAGGTCTGTTGTCCTAATTAGGCGTTTTTTTTATTTTATTTTTTATTTTATGTACTAAATTAAAAAAAAATATATATATATATATCACAGGCACATTTTAACATGCAAGAAAACATTTTTTAAGTCATAGTAAAAACTATTATCCCTGTTTTGAAGCACAATCTATGGGCTTAATTTATTTTTAAATGTACTTTTAAAACAAGTACTGGCAATATCATTCATATATCTGTCAGTTCCGTCTTATGGTTTAGGTATAAAAAAATCTAGTATGGCATAGAGTGATGCAGTTTTATATCTACTAGTCTTTAGAGTAATGCTAGTGTGTACTGACAAAAAAAAAGTGTACTGACATGATCTTAAGATTGACTGTCAAGTTCTGTTCATAACAAGTGTTGTTTTACTCTTTTTTTTTTTTTTTGTCTTTCTCTCAAGCCAGCATTGCTGATAAATTGTTTATAACCTTAAGCACTAAGTTTCAACTTCTGGAGAATAAGATTGAGACAAAGTAAAATACAACTTAAATATATCTTTATTTGAAAGCCTTTTTTACATCTACCAGACAAAAGAATGGTTAAAAAAAGGAAGATAAAATAGAGAGGTTCATACTTCATAAGTATTATTTGAAACAATAGAAGTTAGATGGACCTGAACAGCTGCCCTGCTCCAATAATCTGGAGGTAGTGGGTTCACGCCCAGGTTGTGTCAGGAAGGGCATCTGGTGTAAAAACTGCCAATATAATATATATAT